TCAATTTTGGGAAAAAATGATGGATGAATTCATAATTTATTTTGTAAAATCTGTTTTGTGGTCTGAACTTCCTGTTTGTGTGATTGGCTGGTTTTGGGTGGGTGGGATTAGTTATTGATTGTTTATTGGTTGTTGTTCACTGAAGGCCACTGATCAGCTGACATGTAAATAAATGTTGCAATGAAAATGTGTTAAAAGCTTTAAAGAGAAAAAGGAAGTGTGTGTCAGACTAGCTTTAAGATCTGTGTACAAATTAAACAGCGCCCTCTGGTGGCGGATCGTTTCATTACAATGTGGAAAAGAGGGATCTTAGGATTGTTTTTCTTTCTTAAAAATTATTTGAAGTGGTTTGGGGGGTTGAGGACTAATCAGAGGCTCTAATGGTGACGTCATCAAACAGGCAGAGACGGGGTCAGCCCGGGGTCCTTCACGCATGCTGATTGGTCTGTGACTGGTTGGTAATCACAACATAAAGATATCCGTCTGGCAAATTTCCCGCTTAAAGTGAGTTTGGATTTGTTTTGGTTCGTTAAAAACTTTTTGGAACATCTTTTGTCTTGTGTCCTGCAGACGCTTCTGCATTTTATAAGAAGTTTTAAAGTTTTAGCTCATCTGAATTTTTTTTAATTGTGATTTAAAAATATATAACATGAATGAAATGGTGCTTGTTCAAAGTGTTCTCAACTTCTTTAATAACATTAAAATATTTACAGACAGAACTCAATATTTACCTGGAATCAAGAGAACAGAAAACTAAAAATTTTCCAGAAAAGTCATTAGCATTGATCTATTCATCACATCCTGTAAAACAGATTTAAAAAACAATTTAAGTTACATAAATTGAAATAAATCTAACACGATTAAAATGGAGAAAATATAAATAAAACAGTCTGCAAAATTCAAACTAGGAGATGGAAATATGATCATAAATTAATCTCACGTTATTCTGGCACATGAAAATCATTTCTTCATTTTTTACAAATGTCCCATTAAAGCCTTTATGTGGCTGACATGAGGGAGCATCAATATGGTTTAATAAATATCTGATTTCAATCCAACATGATGGAAAACAAAATCATAATTCCTGTTTGGACCCACAAACTTTGCAAATAAATTTGATTCTGATTCTAAAAATATTGATTTATACATATTATTATATTTATTTATGGAAAGCAGTTAAATACAGAAGAGTGAACAATGCCGCCATTTTGGATTATGAAGTTTGGATTTGGTGAGGAACGGCTGACCTTTCAAATTAAAACTCTGGTTTAAATTGGCATACTAGTTAATTATTTTCTGAATTGATACTGTATGTAGGACTCCAGGTGATATAAAGGTTAATCCGTGTCATTCACAATGCAAATAACCCAATTATTCTTTTAAAAATGCATAATTCACTTATATCAGCTCAGTTTCCTCTCCTAATAATAACCAGACAGAAATCAGCAGATGATTTTTACCCCATGATCAAACCCAGACGTCCACCAGATCAGGCTCTTCTTCAGTTCTGGCAGCTGAACTTGCCCTTCTTGTGCAGGAAGAGCAGCTGCAGCACCAGACTGCTGGGCAGGCTGAACCAGTGCATGGACTTGTGCAGCAGGCAGCTGACTGTGGTGCTGAACACGTTGGACTCCCGGAGCGACGTGGCGACCATGAAGCCCAGGAACCAGAAGCAGAGCACGGCTGTGATGGCCGTGACCGTGCAGAAAGCCCGTTGCTTCATCTGGTCGACGTGCTTCCTGTCTCGCTCTTTCTCGCCCGGCCCGTGGCGAATCAGAGCACGGAGAACCGAAAAGCTGCAGAAGGAGACCATGACCAAGGAGAAGACCAGGAAGCAGAAGAACTGGACAGTGGGTAGTTTAGGGTAGTACGTCTGCGTCAGATGACTCCACAGAAAGGAGAAGAGCCAAGTGAGCAAAGCACAGACGTTTCTGACCGTCACTCCGTGGGTACTCTGGAGTTTCTTATAAGCGACCGGATGAACCACGGCCAGGTACCGGTCCAAACAGGTGAAAACGTGGAACAGCGTCTCTCCAACGAACATGATGTTCATGAGATACAAGCCGGCCAGGCTGACGGCTGGCAGGTGCAGGGCTCCGTAGAACAGGACGTTCCCCAAACCCCAGAGCAGCTCCAGGACGGCCAGGTGGAAGGTGAAGACGTCCAGGTGGCTCTGCGGCTTGGCGGCGCGCCGCCGCCACTGCTGCTGGCCCAGGTGGAGGATGAAGACGGAGCTGGGGAGGAGCAGGAGGAACCTGACCCCAGTGTAGGCGTAGGCCACCGCGAAACTGAGCGTGACGTTCACACAGCGGGACTGGAGCAGGTAACCGGACGGCTCCAAGTCAGAGGGCTCCGCAGCCATGATGAGTACGATGGGACCACCTGGAAAAGGAATGAGCTGATTCTAAACTCTTCTGGTGATAAAGAGTCTAAAACATCTGGAGAATATTCAGGCCAAACAGTTTCGGGACGAGGATCTCATTTATTTTCCTCAATTCTGATTTAATTCAGTTAAATCAGAATTAAAGTCAAACTGAATTAATTTCAGTTTGATTTTCTGGTTCCTCCATTGGTGGAAAATGTTGAAATATTAGAAGTTTATTTTAATTATTACTATTATAAATAATGCATTTGTTGTGGTTATTGAGAATCTGACATTTGATACAGAAACAAATATTTAAAATAAATCTCATTATTGGAAGCAAGAGTACCCAAATTAAAATAATCTAATTTAACTTATTGGGAATAAAACTTTGAACGTGAGCTCAAATCAACAGCAGATAATCTCATCAACTCACCTTTTTTTAACGATTGCTGCTTTTATTGATCCGTTTCTGAGGCTCCAGAAGCTGAAACTGGAGGTCACTGACAAACGGTGCTCAGGTTCGGCTGGTTCCTGAGCTCATCTGGTGAAATTAATGACGCCGCAGCTGTTTTACATGGATGACAACAAGCAAATGTTCATTTAACAACTGGAAAAAAAATCAGCTGTCATATATTTGTTAAATCAATTCATTGTATCTACTTTTCATACTTCAGGTTCATCTCGGAGAAACAAACAGAAGTTTGTAAATCATTAATCCAACATAACAATGAATGAAAAAACCTCTGAAAAGCATCTGGAGCTGCAGCCTGATCTGAATGTTTTATCTGGTATTTTGACAAACCAGTAGAGAAAAAGAAGAAACAAGTGATGAGATTTAATTTAATTTTATAAGAAAATGCACAGAAATAAATTGAAAATCAAATATTTTTTCTTTGCTTTGATTATTTCTGTATAGTTATAATCAGAAATGGGACAAAGAAGGAAAACGATTGGCAAACAGAAAAAGTTTCACTGTAAAAGTTAGAGGAACATTTCTGTGTTGGGAAGCAGATCATCAGTGGAGATGTTTAATTTGAAACAACGTGACGCTGGTGACGTCTCACGTCATCAACGTGTTTTTATCTAGTGATCGTATGGAGTCCCAGAGATGCTGCAACATTTAAAACGCTCCTGTAAATTTACAGATATCTGAGTGTCCACATCTTCTCTAAAACTGTACCTTCAATTAGAAAATGCTTCTAGAGGCATAATAATTAAACACATCATATTTAGATACTAAAAATAATCAATGGAACCTGGCAGAACTTTCCCTAATGCAGAATCTGAAGGTTTTATACCCAATAGATTTATTTTTCAAATGAAATATTTTGGAACGTAGTTTCACAAAGAATAAATTTGACACTTTCTATGTTAGTGATGTCATTTCTAGTAAATGTATCTCCTCATCGATAATGTGCAGGTTTGCAAATGCTTATTTCTAAAATTTAGATTTTTTTTCTAATCCTTTTTCATTATTACACAGAGTTGAATGTATTTGAGGGTCTCTGAAATGAGCAGCATCAGCTCTCCTCCTCCTCCTCCTCCTCCTCCTCCTCCTTTTCTTCCTCCTCCTCCTCCTCTTCCTCCTCCTCTTTCTCCTCCCAGTCCGAACACAAACACATTTGTCTTTGTGTTCCAACAGGGGAAAAAATTTAATACAATTATATCTCGACGTATGCATTTTCCATTACAGCTGAAGAACGACTGGATTCAAATGATCTGTGAAACTCAAACGATTCAAATAAAACATCAACCGGTTACAGGAGGAGATCTCCAAAGACCTCCTCCTGTAATCTCCTCCTCCTGTAACCTCCTCCATCTGTAACCTCCTCCTCCTGTAACCTCCTCCACCTGTAACCTCCTCCACCTGTAACCTCCTCCTCCTGTAACCTCCTCCACCTGTAACCTCCTCCTCCTGTAACCTCCTCCACCTGTAGCCATTTTCCACTTTCTATTTATTTGTCATCAAATGTTCTAATTTGCTGAGAAACAAACTGGAATATTTTCTCCAATGAGGCTCAGATTATTTTATTCTTTGTTTTTACAGCTAATCCATCTGCTTTGTCTGTCGGAAAAGAAACGTTTTTTCAGGCGTTATAATCAAACAACCAGCTGTATCTCAAAATGAAACCTAAATATATTCACAGAAGAAAAACAGAATAACAAGCCAACAATAAAACATCACAGCAGCTGCATTCTGATTTCATTTATTAGGTGAATGGAGCCAGTAAATGTCACAATTTTACCATTAAAAATGTAGAACAATATGTCGTCAGTTCACAAAGCATCTTTAATCTATGAATGCACAATCTGTAATCTATACAACATTTTATTAAGCCCTTCTATTATTATCCTTTTAAATTATATCACCTTTATTGATTAATGCTGCATTGATAAAGTTAAAAGTGGTTATAATGGGTCTAACTTAGTTACAATAAACCAGTAAACGTCAGAAATTAGTTGATCTCAACAGAAAGGGATCAAAGTCAAGTAGGTAAAAATTTAACATTTGATTGAAAACAACTGACATAAAGTTTGAGCCAATGTTGTTAAACTACAATTACTAGACTTTTGCCCCACAGACGTCCAGTTTTCCTGCCCTCTGCAGGAAGAGCAGCGGTAAGACCAGACTGCTGGGCACCAAGAACCAGACTGAGCTCCATCCAGTTAAACAGTAAACATATTCAGAATCCGGTGCTACATTTTGTATAATGGTGGTAATCATGTTGGCCATGAACCTGAGGAGCAGAGTTCCTGTGATGATCATGAAGGTGTTCAGAGCTCGCTTCTTTGATTGGTCGACCCGGTCTCTGGTCCCGCCAGGCCCTGGTCCAATCAGAGCGCAGAGAACCGAGAGGCTGCAGAAAACAAAAGCTACAGACGTGAAGGACAGAAGCAAAACATTGATGAGGGCAAAGGGAATCATTGTCTTTACAATCAGAACCATTATCAGAATGGAAACCAGCCAAACACATCCAACCGTGATGTTTCTGACCCTGACGCCTGCTGAGCCTTTAAGACGCAGGTAGAAGACGGGATGGACCACGGCCAGGTAGCGCTCCATACAGGTGAGCAGGTGGAACAGAGTCTGACCTGAGAAGAAAATCCCAAACATGCCACTTCCTGCCTTCTGGACACCTCCATTTTCAGTGATGGTGCCAAAGAGGTAAAACAAGTTTCCCAACATATTAAACAGGTCGAGGAAAACCACGTTGTAGGTGAGGATGTCGATGTGGCTCCACGTGGTGAAAGGAGCCATGAAACCGTCTTTCCTCCATCGCTGGTAACCGGTGGCAACGACGTAGAGGAAGAGAGGCAACAGGAGCACGTAAACAACCAGGAGGCTGATTATTACTGATATTATCTCAGGGGCAAAGCAGTACAGAAACAGAGGATGGGTGAAGGAGTTGGACGAAGAGTTGGACGGTTGCTCCATTTGCTTCAGCATCTATAAACAGAAACATTGAATTTGACATCTTAGGTGGCAAAATAACCAAAAACAGCCCTGATGTCAGAGGAAACGGTGAACCACTTCACAAATATTAACATAAATCTGATTGGTGAACATTCATATTCAGTCACTTCCCCCAAACTATCCAATTAGTAAAGAGAGTCTTTGTCCAAGACTCTGACCAATCCATTTGTTATCCGTTCATTAGTGAACCAACATGAAGCCCCAAATACAGATCTAACTCAGAATACATTTAATGTTTTGTACCTAAATCAAATTGGGAATTTGTTAAACAAAAATTAAAAGCAAAGGAAAACGAACTAAAACTAATCTTTACAGTAACTGATCTGACTAAGCTTGATGAATTTTGCAAAGGATGAGTGCAAATCTTGTGCAAAGCTGTAAAAGACAGCAGTAAAAAGTTGTTTTTTCTTCAACTAGAAAATACTCTGTTTTCTTCCTCTGAACTTGGTGGAACCAAAATGTGACACTATAAAAAGCTTTGACAGCTTTAAGATATGATCCAGAGCAGCGACATTAAATAAACATCTGCTGACTCAGCATCCACAGAATCGGTTCCCAAACTTTACCTGATTACCTGAACTCAAATTACTGCAGCAACACAAGATGAAAAAAAGCTGAAGTTTGTCTGTGTAGATTTGATTAAAAACAAACTTCAGATTTGTTACAAACTCACCCTGCAGGACGGTTCTGGTTCTGGTCCTGGTTCTGGTCCTGGTTCTGGTTCTGGTCCTGGTTCTGGTCCTGGTTCTGGTTCTGGTTCTGGTCCTGGTTCAGGTCCTTTCCGTCTTCTTGCAGCTCCAGTCTCAAATGACCAACCTATATCTGTTACTTGTTTGTGTATGAGAGTCATGATGTTATTTTGCATGTTTCAAATGAGCGATTGATTTATTGACCCCAAAGCCAAAAGATGGAAAATGTATTAAAAGTAGAGCCTTCAAACACATCCAGCTTGTTTACAACCAAAGCTGGGGAGACACTTTTTTCTTGTTTTATATGCCAGATCTTTTTAATTATAAAATATAATCCACAAAAGGAAGTGGAAAGTTACAGCATTTCCTGGTATATGTTTGTTTTCCTGGCAGGAAATTTACTTCAGGGAGTTTCTTTAAACCACCGTTTGCTATAAA